TACCTACCTACCTACCTACCTCTCTCTCTCTCTCTCTCTCTCTCTCTCTCTCTCTCTCTCTCTCTCTCTCTCTCTCTCTCTCTCTCTCTCTCTCTCTCTCTCTCTCTCTCTCTCTCCCTCTCTCACTCTTTCGCGCAGCCGTTTCTTCGACCAACGAGGATTGTGAATCGCGGACAAAAATAAATCCCTACTTTCGTATTCCGCTGGCACGCTCGCGCGCGGATCGTGTAGAGCCGGCGCCCCGTACGTTGACGTATACTACTGCCGTCTTCTTATATGCGGTACGCGATATATCGCGTGAAAGCACGGCTCGCGACGACGATCGCGAGCAATTTTGATAGAGTCGCCGATCGATCTCGAGCGCTGAATGATTAAACCGCGACCGAGTCGCATATGTTTAAGTAATACGACAATCTCGCCCGATAAATTTTACTGTAACGCTATTATTTTCATGAGTAGCCGCCGGCGTTTGAGAGAAGTAAAATTCACTTTTTAAGCACAAACATGCTTTACAATGTACAATCATTCCTTTAATCTTTCTCTCTTCGATTTGCATGGCGCTATTACTTAATCACCGTTCTATCGCACTAGATGATTATTAATGGACAATAGAAAAGTGCTTTTTCTTCCGTCTGGAAGGTAGAAGAGCAATATACTCACCGGAAAAAATGGAAGCAATGGCTGCGATAATGAATGAGATGACGACACCAGGTCCGGCAACGCTGCGCGCAACCATTCCTGCGACAAGGTACATCCCTGTCCCGACGCAGGAGCCAACTCCTAAAGACGTCAGGTCCAGAGTTGTCAGGCACTTCTGCAAATAGTAATCATGTCCCGGAAAAATGTAGAAAGCCCATTTTTAGACAAAATCAGAGATAAAAAAATACTTTTGAATTAAATCGGATTAAGCGACTAACATCTTTTCTCTCTGCAAATTTAGACCTTCTTTCAAACAGTTATTTTAATTAAATAAAAATAAAATTATAACAAAATAATAATGAAGTAATTTATTGTTGCAAATTAAAAGCGCAGAAATATTATTTTATCTGAAACAATTAACTAGAATGCAAAATAATTTTAAATGGATTCGTTTGAATACCACGCTGGAATTGTTTTTTTTTTCCTAAATTTCTTTCAAGATAAAAATGATTAAAGTGAATTACTATTCGAAACGTCGTACTTTATTTCGAGTGATAAATTTCCATCCATATTAATATTCATTTTTTTACGTCTCTCTTCTCGCTTCCTTTTTTAAAAATCGATAAATGGGGTTGTCGCGGAAAGATGTTGCGCAACCATTATCGCCGATTACGATTCGCAGCATCGGTATAAATACGGAACGATAATAGTAAATAATATAGCGAGCGAGCAGAAGCGAGAAAGAGCAAGAGACGTGACTTCGCTGCGACTTTGTATAATAGAAATGCGCGACGAAAAGGTTGCAATTGTATGCACCTCAGCAGAAACAGTCGCGTCTTTTGGTCGAGTTCTTCCTATAGAATGTCACTTGCCATTTTTACTACTCTCCTCCGATAGTTATTAATACACGTGAAGAGCCCCTTAAGCCCCAGGGGTTCTTTCTCAGCCGACCATGGGTGTGGCTAAAATGTTGCCGATAAAAATAAAGCCAAGCTCCTCTCAGCACAGACGAATGTTAATAATATGACACGAGATTTGAATAACGCGACAGAGTGAAGACTTGAACCGCGAAGTTGAAGATCTCCCATTCTAAATAGAGGTCTCTCATTCATAGTTCAAAAATTTTTATATTATTTCATATATTATTTCTTGTTTGCTCTATGTTATTTTACAATTCTTTGTAATCTATTTTACGAGGCAGCTTTACCAAGCCAGCTCGACTAACTGCGTAATTAAAACTGAAAAATGCTCACATTAGCGCGTATTTAAATATAATCACAGTAACAGTTTCCGCGATCGTTAATAAATCGAGAAGAAAAATTAAAAATAATTACACCAGGCATATCCAGAAGCGATATTATGCACTTAATTGCAAAAGTTACAAGGCTTCTAACGGCAAAATCGAATTATCCAGCATATCATTATAACTAGTCAATTTCCATTGAGACGGTAATTGCATGGTAATGATGTAAAATGCACTTTGCAATTGCACGATTAGCAACGTCGGATTTCGCGAATTGATCCGCCAGATATATCGTCGCGTTGCTCAAAACATGAAGGATGCGACGCCGTAAATTAATGCAAATTCCACGTGAATTATTACCAGCGCGGGGACTGCACTCGAACGTCGCAACATCGACGCATAACGTAACGCTGATTTATGTGTCCGCGAGCAATTACGGGAGTTTTGATGAGATTTCTGGTAACCAAGAAATATGTTCCTCTTTTTTTGCATAAATCCGATCTTTAAATCATTTTATCCTTAATTGCGAGATTTAAATCGCAAGTATTAGACTTCAACAATGTTTCGCAAAATAAATTTTATACAAATAAAACTTTTTTCATTAAAAAAAACGGAATAAATGTGAGAAAAAAGAATCGGGTAAAAATTTACACTTTAAATTTTAACTTTTTCAGGATGGATAACGTATGCATGCATACTAATTTTATCACAATGAATTACATAGAGAAAGAACAGTTGAGTAATAATAAAAAGTCGCTTAATATTGCAACGAAAATGATCGATTGTCTCATGGCGCGCGAACGTTTACAATTTCGATCATCGTTGCGTGGTCCTGTGCAATTTCACATTGTGCCTTACGTGCGAGCAGGCCATCGGCTGCTAAATAATGAATGAGACTGAAAGTTACCGGGTCGGAACTAAGCGCGCGTAGTAAATGCCGGAAGTTCTCTCGTAGCAGACTGTTCGAAAGATCATCCCGGATGTACGGCGTCGTTTATATGCGTTCGACTGCAGCGAGCAAGCAAACGCTCGCTAACGTGATTTCTAAAGCAGTTCGCATGTCGGCAAAAACGATGAATCTATGAGCGATCGAACAGCGCGGGTGTTAAACAAAATTCGCTTACTTTCGTTCATTAAATGAAACCCGCGACGCGTGTAATTCGATGAGCGCGCGTAAATCGACGATGAACTTTACGGCCGTCTGGCGAATCGATAAAACATATATGAATAAAATATAACAGATACACAATGATGCGAGGTAAAACGTAACGAATAAAAATGTAACAAATGTAAAAAAAAAATACTACGAATGTACGTAAAAATGTAAAGCATGTAACATTTTTCTCTCCTTGAAAATAAACGTTCCATTATCAACGGGTTTTTCCTCTCGTACGAAACAACGTATTTCTCCGGAATTCAACAAAATCTAATTAAAACTGGCAATTAAAGCTGCTCCCAATCGGAGCAAAATGACCGCTTTTAATCATCATTGGCAAAAATACCGTCGATGATTGACCATTTTCAGGGACAATCGCGTATAACGAGCTGCGCTTCTGCTCTTCGATCGGCGATTTCCATTCTGATTTCTCGCGTTCTACTTTCGCGCTACACGGGGGATAAAATTTACGTCTTAGCCGCGGCCGCGATCCTGCATGTGTGTCGAGGCTGTGCTACTTTCCGGCCGGAAGCGGATCGGTTATTGGGAAACTTCGCGACGGTTTACGCGCGTTGCAACCGCGGCACCGTCTGCTGGAAATGTCCGCTGAAGCGAAGTGTAACGGGCTTCGCAGTGGCGCTCGCCGTTGGAGATACGGAAAGTTTGCCGTGTCTCCCTTAAACGCGTGACACGGACTATCAAGAGCGACAGAGTTACTGCGGCGAGAATACCAGTCGGGATACGTGCGAGAAGACCACCATCTGCAAGCAGTCGTTGAGAAATTACAGAACACCGTCGGCTCGTTCGCAACAAAAGCGACAAATTTTCCGGCGACGTCGAATCATTTCGCGCCGTATATTTACTCTTTGCGCACTTGAATTCCTCGGGGAATGGTCTTTATTTCCATGGAATAAAGGACTGTTTTATTGGAGTTTATCAAAACGAGTAAATAACGACTCTGAATCACCCCTTTTTATCGCCCTGATTATTGTATTTACTCGTTGTTGAATAAATATATTGATCTATTTATTTTGTATACATAAGATTATTTTTGTGATTATGATATTGTCGCGGCGAGTATTATAATTTTTTCAGTTCTATTAGAAAGTTAATGAAAGTTTCCTTGCGGATTTCTATCAGCAGGTATACGAATCCTTTAATCTCGCTGCTAAAAGTTAGCGTCACTCTAATTGATAATTAGGAGCAACCCGCGCTGTTAAACGCCTGCCTCTTTAATTAACACTCTCGTCCTCACACTTGTTTCCCATTACCCTCTTTCTCACACCGGGCGCCGCAGCTTCTTTTGTTCACTCACGTGGCAACTCTGGCAAACAATTGGCGGAAATAAAATGACTAACCGCACGATATCGTAAACAGAAAATGTAGAAAAAGTAAATTGTCCCCACGCTTTTCATATCAAAAGGATCAAAAAGGTAAAGCAAAAAGTGTTCGTTAATGTGACATCCGGATAAAGTTTCGAGGATAAAATTAATTTCTAAGCGTCCGATCAACTGCACTTGGCTCTTATTAGCCTGTATTTATAGTTTATACTTCATAATTCATATTAAAAGAGCTTTAATTTTGTTTGACAAAAAAAGTGAAATCTTATATTAAGATTTTAAAATAGCCAGCGGTTTATTATAGCCAGCGGTTTATTATAATTTCAATTTGGATATATTTATCTTATATATTTAAATCTTAATTTATGATTTAATTGAATATAAAATACATACTTAACGGCACTAAACTTGGATCCAAGTGTGAGGTTTAAACTCGTCATCGCAGCCATGGCTCACATTGTTATTGCTCTTACCTGTAATTTCTGCTTGGAGTTGGCTGGATGAAGTGGCTCGGGACCGGTTTTGGGCTGATCACCCTGCAGACTATCCACATTCTTTGTACGTATGAGCTTGGCGAAGAGCTCGAGGCCCTTCTCCCGGTCCAACTCAAGTTTCATTTTCCTGCAAATCAGAACGGGAAAGAACAATTAGTCTCTAAGAGAAGAGGAAAAGGCTTTGTGATAGATAATGGTGCTTTTAATTGATGTTTCTCAAACATTCTGTCGCCGTGAGCGGGATATATATAAAATATAACGTGAAAAAACAAACGTGATGTGTGGCCTTCATTCTATTACATCGTCCACTTTGTTTTTTTTTTGTTTTTTTTTTATGATGTAACAGACTGAGAACTGCGTCATCAGTTGTTCGATGGTAAAGAAAAAGTGAGAGAAAAAAATTAGAGAAAAAAAATTCACGGAAACATGTGAACAGTTCCGGCTTTTGCTATAAATGAGAATAAATAAACATATAATTTATATACGTATATGCAGTCGAAAATGACCGCGGTTATCCGCAAAAAAAATAAAATTGAGTGTACTTTTCAGGTGTCTCCAAGTTTACCCAGTGCAAATGCAAACTGTCATGCACACGTATGCGCGCGTAAAAGATTATTAAAAATGGCGCCGGTATGCGAGACCGTTATTTCCAGCAAAGATTTAATAATATCTGTCCGTACGTAATCCCTTTACGAGATTAAAAATAGCTCTCGCCGCGAGTGTGCGATAAATAGTTCAAAGGTTATCAAATGAATAAGGATAAACACACAAGTCAAATGGCATATTGAAATTTTCAAATTGTTTTTTAATGTCCAAAACAGCAATCGAGAAGAGAAAAACAATAAAATATTATGTCTAAAAAAAACGTTTTAAATAACATAGTATTTTAATAATATTGTGTGTGCATAATTTAAGCCCATTTCAGACGATCTAAAATTCACGACACAATTTGAGATAAAATTCTCTTTATAATTTTATATGTTATGAAATTCAAACGTTTTATATTATATAAAATTAAAATAGATTTCTATTTTAATTTCTATTTTATTGAATTTATAGATAAATCTATATCTTGAATTTTGTTTTAATATACAAATTTATAGATAGACTTCTATCTCGACTTCTGTCTCAAATTATAAAAATGTAAATAGATGTTTGTCTCGAATTCTGTCTGAAATTGCAAATCGTCTAAAAGAATTTAGTAAAAATATATTTAAAATAACAAAAATAAAATATTATTTCTTTTCATAAAATATGTGTCATATAAAAGAATAAATCAAATATGTAATAGATCTATTATGTAATGTATACATAATAGATATTGTGTAATATATACATAATAGATATTGTGTAATATATACATAATAGATCCATTTAACGATAAGTAATATAGTAACAATGATAATACAAATAGAATGTTCAAATAATAGCTTTAGAATCTGTGCACTTTAAAAAATAACATCTGTCGGACAAATGTCGAGCGTCAAGAAGAAACTGTGAGTTCCATCCGTCTTTTCTCGTTCGGAAACGCGAAATGTAGTCTCGGAAAAAAAAGGCGAAACCTACCGCATAATCAAACGCAAATTGCCCGTTTCCGGAGACAAATGAGCTCTGAAAAAACGTCAGCGACAACATGCGGTGCACTTTTCTCTGGCTCACTTATTCTCAAGATGAAAAGTCGCACACACAAATTATCGATTTATTATCTGACACGCGTAGCGCGTTATACAATTATTAGCTCTTCAACAGCGTAGCTTCTTTACGTCTTCTAGCGCTGCTCTTTATCCAAAAATAAAAAATAAGTTAAATTACTCAATAATTACGAAAATTCCGATATTAAACTTTTAAGTGCTCTGTCTATCAAAATTAACATTTTTTAAATTATTAAAATTATTAAATTATTTCTTATTAACTTTTCTACAGATTTTAATTACAACATTGAAGTATCAATATTTTAAAACTCAATCACCAAAATTTTATTGCCGGCTTAAAATTTGGTAGGTTTTATTTTTTAAAAACATTATTTTGCAATGCAACTACACGTTTTACACTTTTAATTAAGAGTTAGAAAAATGTGCAACAAATGTGAAACATCTCGCAAGCTTGTCCGAGAGACAGATCGATATTGAATTGAATTACTTCGAAGAGAATTGTTTCCATAAATCGGCGCGCATAGAAAATGCCGAATGGATGTTCTATGAATGTGCCGATGAGATATCGTGCACATTGAGACGATTACTCGTCCCTTTACCACTCGAATCCTATTAAAACAAAAGGAAACGCGTGATAAAGGCTGCCCGCTATCCGGCTATCGCTTGTAATCCAGACACGATGCACTCTTCATGATGGATTATGCAAACAACGAACAGCCGGGGATAATCGCCGAACGAGTGAATGGAACGACACTCGCTGTATTAAAGAGAATAAATTATTCAAGGAACGCGCGCGATGAGGTTAAAAGCGAATTTTATCTGTCCCTCGTCGAGATAATGGATTTTCAAGATATGCCCGGAATTTTGCCGCGTGTACCGCCCTCCGGCGTCAGCACGTGCGACACGTCATGCCGACACGTTACAAAATCTGTATCACTTTGAACGAAAGCATGAATTTCCCAGCAGAGAGACGCGAGATGTGCCAAAGAGATTCCCGGATTGGGATTCCGAAGATACGCAATACGCTAGATTTCGATAAACCTAAAAATATTCGAATAACAAACAATCGGAAGTTTCTTTATACTTGTAAAATACAACGATGCTGGAAAAGCGTTTCCAAAACATAATTCATTATTATTGTGTTACTATCTTTTTATTTAAGTTACTTCATATTTATCGCTATTTTCAAAATACCTACATTTATCATTTGATAAATACGTATATTTTTGTTGTTTTTGAAATCCGAATACATTTAGTACACGCGATAATAAAATTGGAAATACAAATTGTTTAGTTGCATGAGAACTGCTTTCTTCGCGCCCTATTAAATAACATACAGAAGTAATTTACAATAATGCAAACGCGCGATTTTGTCTCGTAGCAGCAACAGCAATTTTGCCGCGAAATCGACCGACACGACCCGCATAATCGCGCCTTAACGTGGCAGAATGCAATTAACCCTTCCTGCTCGTATGCTGTTCGTGATATCTCGCGTCGGAACATCAGCAATTCCTTTACGTCACTTCTTCCATGTTAGGCCTTGTCGTCGCTCTGGAATTGCCTTCCGCAATTAGCAGAATGTAAATGAATAGTTTTGACTTGTGTTTCATTAACATACGCTAATCGCGCAATATTCTTTTATTTTTATTTTATTATATATTATAAAACAAATTTATTCTAAATTAATCAAAATCGTATACCATATGACATGTCAAATGCGCAAATTGCAAACACTAGCGAGTTCAAAAACTTCGAAGAAACGCTCTATCTCTTCATAGAGAAACTGCAATCTGCGAAACTCGCAGAAGAAAATAATATCGCGGTTTGGTTTCGATATAATGCGATCTCTCCCGATGATATCGCCTTCCCGAGTTTTTAATTAAGAACAAAGAAGAAAAACAAAATACGCCCGCCGCTTATCGCGCTGGCTGCTTATTACGTGGATATCGTGCCAAGACATTCGCGATGAAACGGAAGCGCGATCGCGTTTCTCAACCATTATCGTCCGTTAATGCTGCTACATTCGCTTTTCTTTTCGAACATACAAACTTGCAAAAAAAGAAAAAATTGCTATCGCAGCGAAACCGTTGCTACACATTCGATGTGAAAGCGATCGAACCGCGCTATTATGACCAATTACCAAATATTATAGCAAAACTTGTGTTTCAAAAAGTAAATTTGATGAATAAATTTACTTTGAGAAACACAAATTTGCTGGCAAAAACAAGCTTAATTTAGCGAGATAGTCTACTCCCAGCAATTTTGCTGTTGCAGCGAATACTGTATCAAGATAATTTGTAGATGCGGTAAACGACGTTTGCTACGGTATACAAAATACATACAAAATGTGTTACAGCAAATAATTTTTCCGTAAAGTCGCGGAAGCGCGATTTATAAAGTCAGCCAGTTCGTAAAGTAGAAAGATTTTTAGATCAGAATATCTTTCGCTCGAATCTATTCTTTTCAGAGAAGGTATATTTGGGGGAATTCTCAGCGTTTATCTGCGCGATATGCTATCACGCAATGATATCGCCAAAGTTCTCCGTTTGCATCGAACGCGCACCGATGAGATCCGCCACAAAAGCCGCGATGCGAAATCGGGATAATAATCCGAGCTAAATCCGACCGGAAGCTCAGTCGTGGCCTCGATAACGTAACATGATTTACGACGCGCGCGTCGGCGACAGGAATCGTAATGCTGAAATTTGTCGACGGGATCGATAAATTCAGCGGTGACGATCGCAATCGCATTTCGGAATGCACGCGCGCGGAATACGCAGCATGAGCTCGTTAACAGTAAACAATTATACCGAATGCGACGTCACGATAAACTTCACGAGCAAATAACCGCGTAGCAAACAACGCAACGGCGGAGCGGTGGCTTTTTATGAACGAGTAGATGAATAATAGGCGAATGCAATCTCTTCGGCACGTTTGTAGCAGACGGTAGTTGACTGCGCCGTTAATAAATCGGCGAAATAATTGTATTCGCGACAGTAGAGAAGTATGACTTCCAATCGATTTAATGCATGTGCACTAGTGTATCGCGAGAGGTAAAATGCGATAAAATAAATTTGCGCAAAGTAAAACCCAAGAATGCATTAGTGATGATTCCTTTTAAATTCTCTGCCAAATATAAAAGATCTATTAAAAAATGGAAAGTGTCGCTTTATAATATGTGATGAAACGCTATGTATTTAAATAATCAAGTTGAAGTTCAAGAAGCTTGCAATTATTACAAAAATTCGAAGGTACAAAAGTGAATCAAAAAGTTTGTGCAAAATTGTTGTTCAAGTGCTTCAAAATTATCTAGTTATGCAACTTTAAATTTGTCGTTAATAAAAAGACGTTTTGCCATATCTGCTACAGAATTCAGACTTGTCATCATCAGATTATCATTTGAGATTATCATTTGAGATTATCATTAAAGAAAAATCTAAGAAAATCTGGACTGTATAAGGGATTTGATAAAATG